TTAAAACATTAGTAAAAAAATAACAAGTTCCTCTTCGCAATTGAAAACCTTGTTAAACAAACTCAACCCACAATTACCATAATTGTACATTTTATTACCCACCCATTGACATAAGCAACTTCTGCCCAAAACGATCGGCTCCCACACACATAAATTTCAGTGCAAAAAATTATTATCTGCACCCATCGAAACATATTTGTTTAAGTTCAGCCCAAAAAGACGCAGCCCCAAATAAAAAAAACACAAAACAAAAATCGAAGCAAAGCCAAAGACAAAAGAGGCTTTCCCACAAAACAAATTCCCAGGGCCCTATGCCTAAGCATGCATAATTTTAATTTATTTGTAGCAGCAGCAACATCAGCCCAAACAGCACAGACAACTGGCCAACTAATAAAAGTAAAAAGCAAAACCTGAGCAGTCCAAAATGAAGCAAAAGCAGCAAAAGCCAGGCAAAATACTGAAGCTGGGGCCAAGGAATATTTATGGAAATACCTTCGGGGCGGAGCTCCCGAATTGCGAAAACGTTGATCAAATTTTGCCAGATAAGCGACGACGACGAAGACGAGCGTGGATGATGATGGTGATGGTTATGGTTGTGGTCCAAAACCCGGAGCTTTGCGATGTGAGCGTGACTGAAGCATATTGAAATTGGTCCAAGCTTAAGCAGGTGCAAAAGTCAATTTAATGAAATTAAGGAAATGGCGATGGGGTAATGGAAATCTGAATGGGTGCTTAATAGTTATATCGATTTTCTTACACATTATAGGTAAATGCAGATTCATAGTTCATTATTATTAACACTAATAAGGTCTTATGAATTTTAAACTGCAGGCAAAAGCATCAGTGTTCTTCATAGGTAATAGATGGATAATGATTTACCATAACAATCATCTGCAAATACTCTTAAAGCATACGGTAAATACAAACAAGGTAAAATATTAACACACTGGGAAACTGCATGGTAACACTTAATATTCAGTAACTTAATTGGCCACACTAAAGTAAACCGCAACACATAGCTTGGTCACACTGGAATAACCATTAACATATAGCTTGATCACACTGAAAGGACTATGAACCAAAGACCCGGTTGAACTGAAAAAATAATTTAAAGATGATGATACCTTATAAAATAGGTACAACATTTATAAATTAATTTTCAAGAAAAACTTAATTTTGAACGTTATACATAAGCCTTTGGGACTTCTATATCTTGCTTTCACCTGGACTATCGTAAGTCTCCGTGCCTCACGCTCCCATCTCCAACCCATCGAGCTCATATGCATGTCGAGGTCTCCGAGTCATCAGCCAAAGGAGTAGGAGTTCGCGGGGGATGGGGAGGGACTGGGGAGGCTGCGGCGGCTTCAACTCTGCGGCTGCCTTACAACGTCATCAGTTTTCGAAGGCGTTGCCAAAGAGCAACCGCCGCGGCGACTGTGGGAACTCATGTTGCATGCTGCACACATACAACTCACCACGAGAGCGGTACGCAGTCCGTAACTCCCCTCTGAACCGATATCGTGCCTCTGAAATCTGCATTCGGGCCTCGGCCGGTGCCCCAACTCGTTTGCATTTCTTATTTGCGGCGGCAGCGGCCTCAGCCCTCGTCAGATTGGCTGGCGTAATCTGTTTTAACTTGGCTCGAACTGAAACTCAAACTCGGACTCGAACGCTGGATGGATGTGGATGTGGTTGTGGTTGTGGATGTGCCTGCCCTCCCCGCTTTTGACGGTAGTCGTGCTTTGGTTATAAAAATTGAAGCCGCCATTAAATTCTGACAGTTGTCAGCTCTCGCGGCTTTGGTTTCGGTCTCGCAGCCAAGTTAAGTAGTTAGGAGCCCGGATCGACTGGGCCTAATGGCTGCTGCACTTGGCCAAATGGCTGATGATCGCCCTGGCCAGGGATTTGGTTATATGGCAATGATGGCGAAGGAGCCGCAGAACGTTTCTCCCAGCAATTTGCAACTCCAAATGCCTAACTGGGCATTTAGCCGGTAATAGTACTCCAGCCTAATGGCCTAATGGGATAACGAATTGAACTTTAATGCCCAGACCAGCTCATTGAAATTTCCTACTTCGCTCATGAAAAGCTGGCTGAAAGCGGAATCTGACTAAATTTATATTGATTGATGATTCTGATAGGCGGTCGCCGGCTCTATTTTAATACAATTAATAAATCATCATTTCACAGGGCGATCGCTTTCGCCGATAATATAAGTATAAACAGTATAACTTTATCAATCTAAATTAGTGGACACACGATTTTAGCAGTGCTAGCTTTTAAGTAAGGAACATTAGTAAGTAAGGGCATTAGTTGCTTAAGTCCTAATAATTAAATTGAATTTATTTAAATTCTGATATTGATCCTGATAGTAAAACAAGTCAATACCGATAAAAATTTAAAAACTAAAATGGTATTCTAACATATTTAATTATATTGTTTTCTGAAGGACGTTTTCTTAAGTGATGTCAATAAAACATAATTGCAAAATAGCTCAACATTTTTTTATGTTTAATGGTTTGAATTTATATTAAATTTGGATATGAACTGTATAAGAGCACAAATAAATATTTGTTTTAATATACAACCCAAAATATTTTAAAAACTTGGAACTTTGTCATTACTAGAGTCTTCAGGCTAGCTAGAAAATTATTGTTCGGTTATTTTGAATACTGTCAGTTGTTAACACTTTACATAATCCTCGGCTGCCATTCTTTTGTGAGCTTTTCAGGTAGCAATCAGAGCTATCAGTCAACTGGCTGCTGCTTGATGAGTTCAAATTGCTACTGCACTCGCCCCGGACACGAACTCATCTTCATTTATCACTTTCAATAATAATCAAAAGCCATCAAAAGAGTTGAATGAAACCGAAAAAAAGGCGTCAGAGGCCTCCAAAAGAACGCAGACAATAGCTGACAGACTGCAATCAAGGTGGAGCGAACAAAAGATGCTGGCGGAGAATTCCCGTCCGCCGGGGTTATTAAAAAAGAATTTGCATAAAAGACAAACCGGGGCACGAGTTCTCCGCAGCACAAACCACAAGGATTAAGCAATAAATAACTGAGAGCGGAGAACGAAGTGGTTAATTTTCTATGAAATTATATTCAAATTAGTTTGATGTTGCCGTCTCGGCAGAGGCTCAAAACTGTTGTACAAATGGCATAATTATGGGATAGACACAAAGCACTTTGGGATCACTTCGAGGGCACTTGAAATTATGCTAAAATGCCAAACGGGGAGGAGGTGTGACCGAGCTGGTGGCACTGCCACAGGTACGGTCTGCCCCGGTCTGTCGACAGAGGCTTGACTGTGGCTCCGCTCATCAATTATCCACGTGCTCACAGAGGCTGGCAATTTGTTAGATGTCTAGGCGGTGGGTTGGCCCAGAAGCACGAGGGGACTCGCTTTTGACACCTCTGACGTGATTATAACACTTTTATGGTTGGTTATTAATGATTTTCATATTCAATAGAAGGCATAGCAAAAAAATATGAGATATATTCCTAAGGTTTGGAGACTTGAGTGCTTATAAGGCGTAAGTAAAAATATTTTCTAGGGCTAAAAGCAACTAAAAAATGCCATTTTCATTTTGCAGACCTAAATAAGTCATATATTTATTGCAATTTAAACACCTGGACGCAATAATAATTACATACTTTATTTATTTTTAGCAGAATACAAATTAAAATAATTTTGGCTTGTAAAAAAGCCATTATACAGACTTTTAGTGTCATTTCTTAATTAAGCAGAGCACATTACCCTAAAGGCTTTATGATGATTTCCATAATTCCGACCACAAATATAATTTAATTGCTCCACATGCGATTTCGTTTCCTGAGCTGTGGGGTCATGTAAATTTCCTCAGACCGAGACATTTATCAAGCGAGCAGATATTCAAAACTTGACCACAGAATATTATTCATTCCAGTTTCCTACCAAACACGTCAAGTGGTGGCCTAAACCAACAAAAGTATTTCTACATCTACGAATATTGCGTGCAGACAACAGACAGCAGACGATTTTGTGAAAAGCAAACTGAAAGACACTAAAAGAAAAGGGAAACAGAAGTCGACGATTGGCTGATGAGAGGGCGCTGCGATGATGGTAATGTTGGCCCTGATGATGATGTTTAAGAGCCGGGATCCAAGCCCAAACCTTCGGACGGCTGCGGAGGTGGGTGCGGAAGTGCAGTGCGGCAAACGTGTCTGCTGATGAGGCTAATGATATGAAAATAAGTCCGGGCCCAGATGACACGAAAGTGTGAGCGAGCAGCCATAGCATACAGCATAATCATTTCATTTTATGAATGAAATAAAGGCCGCATAATAAATCAAAGACACACACGTTGCCAAAACGGAGATGAGAGGTGGATCGAAGCGAAGCAGACTTAAAACGAAGCGTGATCGGGACAGGAAATGGAAATGAGCTTGCATTATCAAAACAGCGAAGGGTGCTAAAAGGATGAGCCTTAGAAGAAAAATTGGGACCAAACAATGAAATACAAACGAATACGATTTTATTCATTAAAAACATTTTTGTAGTTTTATGCACATATGTATATTGACAAATGGTCAAAAGGCTGTGTATCCGAAAATAATATGGAAAATCGCATATGGAATAATTTATTAATAATAATAAAAATAGTTTCAATTTCCATTGTTTATATACTTAAAATTTGAGGTGCTGCAAAAGGTATTTCAATGTCATGAGTTTAGTTTATAAAGCCCGATTTCTTTATATAAGTAAATTACCAAAAATTTGGTAAAAAAATATTTTTATAAATGTATACAAATTATTATCTTAACAATGCATAGGGAAATAGACAAAATAATAATGATAAAACTAAAACGTTTAAAACCTTTATCTTCCTAAACCACAAGGGAAAAAAAATATTAAAATACTTGCTTGGAAAATAAAACTTTTAATATTATTAAAACTTTTCAAGCTCCCCTTTTAGATCTGTTGCAGCTGCCAAAATAATCATAAAACATCAAACTTACCGCCTGCATTTTGCATGTGGTTGTCGATGTTGCTGTCGTCATCATCATCATCGATGTCGTCAATTGTTGCTGCTGCTTGTGTTGCTGTTGGCGCCTGCAATGCTGCTGATGTTGTCGCTGCTGCAGGGCCCGTTGCTGTTGCTGCTCCTGCAGTTGTCGCTGGTGTCGGTGTTGCTGTTGCCATTGTTGCCTCGGGCAGGGCATCATTTTGCTGTAATGCGACTAATGAGGCGGCAAAATTGACGTGTTGCTGCGGCGTGAAGCTAAAGACCGATGCTGCTGCCCCTGATTGAGTTGTTGGCTCGATTTTAATTGCTGTCGCTGGGTGCTGTTGCTGCTGTTGCTGCCAGTACTCGGCGGCAATCAAATGCTGCAGACTGTGCGTAGGCAAATGCTGGCCAAACAGATTGCTCAGATGTTGCAGCGGCGAGCTGCTGGCCACATGTTGCTGCAGGAGCTGCTGCTGCAGCAACAACTGCTGCTGGTGATGATGTTGCTGCTGCTGCTGCTGTGACTGCTGATGGTGATGATGATGATGATGACTGTGGTGCGGATGGTGGTAGAGCAGTGTGGATGCTGCAACGCTTTCGGTGGCCTCGCCATTGACTGTATACTTCGATGTTGTTGTCGGCGTTGACATTGTTAGTGCTTCCGCTGCGGACAGCTGTCGCTGGTTGTTGCTGTTGTCGCTGCTGCTGTTGCTGCTGCAATTGTTGCTGGCCTGATTTGTATTGCAATGGCTTTTGTATTCAAGTAACATGCCGTTGTTGCTAGCAACACGCTGCTGCCGTCGCTGAAGTTGCTGCTGATAGTAGTTTGCTAGCAACAATGGCATAATCAGTGTTTTCGGCTAACTGTGCCAACAGCAGCAACAGCATAGAGCACATAGGTAATCACTCCCGGCGCAGATAGCAGTTGAAAGAGTTCTCCAAAAACACTTTGGAACCTTGATTAGAGCCGATAGCCGCAACTTGGTCAAGTGGACAAACTCTGGTCTGTAATTAGGCAAAGAAGATTAATTAGCCATAAAGGGTGTGTCGTGGGGGCGAGCATGAACGAGCCATAAATTATATCAAAGCAATTGTCATGGTAATAAATAAATTTAAAAAATATTTTAGAGCCAAGGAAATTCTGGGTAAGCGAAAAGCCGCCACAATTAGAAATTCAAAGAGCTCAAATCGCATTTTCAGCTTAGAAGACGAGCAGGAAAGAAAATTATTTATGCAAACTCATCACTCCGCACGCAAAGTATGATGGACATGTGAACCTGTTTATCTGCAGGTTGAAAGCACCTGACGAGCTTCTTCTTTTCTTGATTTCTCGCTTTTTTTTTGTCATTTTAATTAGTTCAATTTCGGTTTATGTTGTTTTGGTTAAATCTGCTCATTCCCTTGAAATTTCACTAGGGGACAAGAGCGACAACATGACGTGGCCGAAAACTAAAAACCAAAAATGCCATTTCATTATTAATTTTGTTTGGTTTATCAGTTGTATGATGCAAAGGGGGGATGGAGGTGCCCTAAACAGTTGACAAAGTCTTTCAACGGTAGCAGGCAATCAAGCTGAATATTCATAATCGCCAGCCGAAGAAAATAGCTAGCTACTCTGCACTGAACAAATATTAAACTGAATAATTAACGTTTTTTTACATAACAAAAGGCTTGTTTACTTGAAAAATATTTAAACTCCCTTAAAAATAGGAATTATGGTAGTTATTTGTTAATATAGTACATTTTTAATTATTTTGTAATACAATATATTTTTTTTCGTTTGAAAGATGTTTTTTTAAACTTATTTTTAAAGATAATTATTCTTTGTGGTAAAAATTATTTTCTATTTGCACGCAACTGATTTTGAAATATAAAGCTTAAAACAACATGATGTAATAAAAATATATATTTTAGCTGATGATAATTTAAATAAAATATCGATTCAAGAGAGCCCAAACATATTATTAAGTATATATTTTAAGTTGGTATAACTTTTCTCAGTGTACTTTTGGTTATTTACAAGCTTCCCAGTGCTTTCGGCGTACTAAACCCTTCACATCAACATCGATACTCGTAGAGACTCCGATCCCGCCATCGTAATTACAAGTCATCTACCCGATGTTTTTGACCATTTAAGCCACAAACGCAGAAGCAGACAGAGTTGAATAGACGAAACAGTAGTTATGCCGAGGGGTCGGGGACAATCGTATAAAAATAAAATAATAATCAGACAATAAATTCCGACAGAAACAAATTTTCATTCATGTATAAGCCCTAAACACGCATAATTGCTAATGCCATTTAAATGTGCCTTTAATAAAAAAACAAATTGTTAAGACCAAGTCATGTTCTATTATTTGAGCAGAAAGAGTTTTCAGTTCCCGATTTTGATATAGATCCGAGTGCAGCGGAAATGTGGAAAGTGACGCGGCCGATTTCTCTCCTCGCTATTGTTATATATTTACCAGCGTTTAACCCCATAAGCGTATTACGAAACTTATTTTGGTTCTAAATGGGAACAAACTGTTTGTCCAGACGGTTAACAGTTTAAGTAGGGGAAGCCTTAGTCAGAGCGATCTATGTCATGTATATGTACTTTTTATTACATGTTTAGATTATATTAAAGAAAGCGATTGTGAATTTATCAACTGGTATTATTAATGGGACCGGAAGTCAAAACTGTGACTAATATAAAGTTATATACACTCCTACCTTCTCAGCTACAATCTCAAACCGCCCAAAATTTGAGTTGCAGAGACTTTATGTTACTCTTATTTATTTTTAATTTTACTCAAGGCAATCATCTTTTGCTTTGTTAAGAGTTAGATGTCCAATTCTGTAAAATATACAGCTAATTTAAGGGGACAATTTTAACATTTATTTTTTAATAAATGGACTTCAGAAAATTAATTATTATTGTAACTTTTATCAATTTGTTTAAGTCTTTAATCTTTTATTGGTAAAGGTATACAACTTTTAAGTTGATTGTAGTTTAAATTAATAAGATTTTAGAATCAGTTTATTAATTGCGCTTATTCATAACATGAACAAATTTGCGGGCCAAAAGTCATTCAAAAGTTACAATTTTCTTGGTTTGTAAATATTTACAAATACAAATAATCTTGAACCGCTTTTTAGTATCGAAAAACTCCTCAGTCATATTTAACTTTAATTTCAATTTCGCCAGCAAATTCGACACGATCCATAGTAAAATGTAAATATTGATGGGCTGGGTGGACAGGTCTGCTCCTATATATGGATAAGATCGGGTGACCTTTACCCGAGTGTGACAATGGCTTGGCATTCATAAGGAGTGGGCCTCCTCCTCCGCTGAAACATTTCACGCAAATATTTATTTTTGCTTGCCTAGCTAATCAATTTCAGCGAAAGGCTTACGGTCGACAGAAATATGTAGATAAATTCATTTAAAAAATTGACAATTAATAGAAATATATTTTTAGCTTGTGGACTTAAAATGCTAATAGAAGTTTAGTTAAAAGTCCATGAATATTAACGGAATTTACAAAATTAATTACATTTAATGCATAACCAAATAGAAGAGGTCTCCCATCGATTTCTGTCACCCTTCTAATATCGAAGGGGGTCTGAATTTTTTCATATTTATGAATAATGGGGCGCCATTCGTAAAGTGCCAAAGGGAGATTTCCTGTGGCTCAAGTCGACTTAGCTCTACTCCACAAAAAAGAACAGAAAACGCAAAATATTAAATACTAAATGAAACAATTTGTGACTTACCAACTAAGACAAGTTAACCCCATTGCAGCTCAATATTAATTAGCAACACATTACCGATTGCCTTGTCGCCGAAACCCAAATTCCTAATTCTAAACAAATTATTTGTCTTTCTATCTAGACATCATCATTTCCCCCATTTGGCACTTGCCTTTGACTCATTTCCATTTCGCGGTATCACCCGGCCCTATCTTGATAACCGCCTGTGTTTGTTAACTAGCCAGGTCTTACTGTAATTGACTAATGAATGCCATTCATTGTTCCAGCTTTTTCAACTTGTGACAAATTTTATTTATCATTGTTTTTGGTTTTGTTCTTGTGTCAGGCAGAATTGTTATTGGTTCCGTTTATTGGCAGGCGGGTTCTCAAGAACAGACGCCGATCTAAAAGCCATCACGTGGTACTAACTGATCGATTTATATAAGAACCACTTAAGTGCGGAAGTGGAAAAGGTTAATAAAGGGGAAGCACATAACTTTGGCTAAGTCAAGATCTATAAAAGGGGAAATGCTTCTGGGAATTGCGATATTTGGCTTATATTGTCACGTTCCAAGTCGCCTTCTAGATAAGAAAAAATGCAAGGCCCAATGTAGATTAATTTTATTTTCAGACAAATATTAAGAACCTGTTTGTGTAAAAATCCTAATTACCAACAAACAAATGTATCTCTTGAAGCTTAAAACCTAAGGGTTTTAAAAGTTGCTTCTAATATCAATAAGTTATTACATTAAGTTTTATTTCAATGTTTTGTTTAAACATTTAAAAATGCAAATTAGATTTTAAAATAAAAGGCTTAGCAACGATTCAAAAGATAGTATGTATAGTTGAGACATTAAAAAAGTTAAATTAAAAAAAAAATTTGTTTGACTAACGCCTTTTTATTGGCGTTAACAAATCCAAAAATAATGTTAAAACTCCCAATTGAAAACTCATAAAATGGACGAAATAACAGGCATATAGCCCTCAACCCCGTCCAATCGTTCACCCTTAAATTGGCACTTGACGCAAGTACTATCGCACCGGACCTTACCTAACCCAAAACATTGAAACGAAGAACCGAAAACCGGTACGAACCGATTTTAAAGATTGCGAAATGTGAAACGTGTTAAACCAAACAAGCCCCCAATGAACTTCGCTCGGACTAAACATCAGCCCATATTTCGAGATTCTATTGTTTACCCTGGCGAAAGAATCGCGAATTCCTAGAACTGCGGCACTCACCGACCAGAACCGAACCGAGAACTCAAGTGAGGTGAGCTCGAGTGGAGGGCGCAATAAACGAAATCAGGTGAATTTAATAAACTATAATCACAAGCCTTCAACTTATTTGTTAATTTTGCAAATTATATTTTATTGGATCGTTCGTATCGCGTTTCTGCATGGTGAGGATGGAGGTGGAGGAGATGCAGGATCCTTTTGACGAAATTGGCTTATCAACCGCAAAGAAATCAATAATTCTTATCACTTATCAACTGACTCGCTTTTGTCGCCAAGTGTTATGTGCATTCTTTATAAATAAAGTGATTCATATTTAAATTATATGTGAAAATTATAGGCGTGATAAGATTTCAATCAACTGATATCTGGCTTTGTTGTGTGCATCACTTCCTCAAATTTTTAACGACGATGACATATAAACTATTCTTAGAATGAATAAAAATATATAAAATTATATGAACTATTATTCAAATGTATTTTTTATTAAAAAGAAACGAAAAAAAATATTTAATTTACATAACCCTTCTCATAAAGATCGTTCTGAAAAAATCTAATTTGATTTTCAAATTATATTGATATAAACCTTTTAAAGAAACCCGGGATCGCAATGAATGGATATGTTTTTGTTTGGTTGATAAGGGATTTATTATCTTATTAAATATATTAGGCAATTTTAATTTAATCCTAGTCTAGCAAACATTTTAAGGTTTTTTATACCCTTGCAGAGGGTATTATAATTTTGGTCAAAAGTGTGCAACGCAGTGAAGGAGACGTCTCCGACCCTATAAAGTATATATATTCTTGATCAGGATCACCTCCTGAGTTGATATAGCCATGTCCGTCTGTCCGTCTGTCCGTCTGTCTGTTTCTACGCAAACTAGTCTCTCAGTTTTAAAGCTATCGAATTGAAACTTTGCACACACCCTTCTTTCCTTTGCACGCAGTATATAAGTCGGAACGGCCGGGATCGGCCGACTATATCCTATAGCTGCCATATAACTGATTGATCGGAAATGCCATAACTTTCGTGTTTGTAAAGTTAGGAAGTTGAGATTTTCTATGGGTCTTATATTTGGCCAATCAATCCGACTCACCAAATTTCATAAGGATCGGCCGACTATATCCTATAGCTGCCATATAACTGATTAATCGGAAATGCCATAACTTTCGTGTTTGTAAAGTTAGGAAGTTGAGATTTTCTATGGGTTTTATATTTGGCCAATAAATCCGACCTACCAAATTTCATAAGGATCGGCCGACTATATCCTATAGCTGCCATATAACTGATTGATCGGAAATGCCATAACTTTCGTGTTTGTAAAGTTAGGAAGTTGGGATTTTCTATGGGTTTTATATTTGGCCAATCAATCCGACCTACCAAATTTCATAAGGATCGGCCGACTATATCCTATAGCTGCCATATAACTGATTGATCGGAAATGCCATAACTTTCGTGTTTGTAAAGTTAGGAAGTTGGGATTTTTTATGAGTATTAAGAATGCATTATATGAATAATTTTGGAGAATATAATTTACAGAGTATTCTGCAAGGGTATATCAACTTCGGCTCCGCCCGAAGTTAGCTTTCCTTTCTTGTTTTTGGATCATATCAGAATGTTCACATATAACTTCCAGTATATTAAGCCCTTTTCAATTGATTTTGTTATTACTTTAAGTCTGGGCAATGTGTACAAGTTTTTTTGTATGAACATTTATAAATTTAGAGCATACAATAGTCACCGTCGTGAATCCTTCAATCAAGCCGATACCCATCCAATTAATTGATTTTTTCAAAAGTCGAACACGTCGACAATGATATGCAAAGTGCTGAGTCGAAGAGTTGGCATGACACAGGTTCTTTTGGTGACTTTATCTCACCTCACCTGCCGGCGGTGTCTTATCAGGCCAGAGCAAACAAATTGAACTCATTTTTCTTTTTAAACAACAGCTTCGACGCAATTGTCGACACGGGTCTACATAATAAGACCCAACTCGTCTTGGCTTGGCCTGGTCGGGCTTAATCAGTTCAGTTCGGTCGGAGGAGAACCGAATATGGTAAATGGGAAAACGCAGTCGAGATAATGCTACGCCAAGAACGAGAAGGAGCAGGTTCCATTCCATTTTTATCTAATTAGGCTAAGCAGCCAACGCCACAAACGATGGACAAATATTTATTATTGTACTGTAAAAATAATCAATCACTCGATCGTTACAGCAAATGGTAATGGTATCTGTACGGCTGTATCTATATACGCCGTCCAGATAACGGCATTTGAATAAGAAAAAAGAGTGCAACAAAAAGAAAATGCAGTTCCAACTTGTCCAGAGGCACTTGAACTCAAAACGCGGCGCACCACAAGTGTTATGCTAATAAAACATATCGAGGCGATCGCCTTATCAATAAGGCAACAAAATACTCGCATGTATATAGATATAGATATATACATTAAACAAATCGAGAGAGAGGTACGATATTTAAAGTGTAAATCGATCGGTTTTTCTTACACTTTGTTTGCAGTATTTATTTCAATTTCAATATTATTTATCGCTTGACGGTTCACCCCAGCGATATTGCGAAAGGCATTGAAGTTACGGAGAAGTATGGGCGCCCCACTTCAACTTTTTTAGAGTAAACTTTGATGCAGGTTCTGTTTACATTCAGGCTGAAACTCATGGCGCCTTACTCAAAAAGGTTTAAACAACCTTCGCCTGCTCAGATGGAATAGATTTCGAATACTTGCATTAACTTTCAATAACCTTGTAGCTCTCAATCGGTGCCTTAAATAGTTGCAAATGAAACCCTATATTCATGATAACCAACAATATTTACCATTGCGGGTGGGGGGAAACCCCTGAAGCAAAGGCGAGCAACATAAATCGAAGAATTTTTCATTTATTAAAGGTTGTTAAAGATTATAGATTGGGATTGTGAAATTCTACACAGTTTTGATTAATTGTGTGATTCATGATTAGGGGTCCAGGTGGCCTGGAAGTCTTATCACTGAAATGTGGGATGTCAACGGGTTTACAATTGATTAATTTTATTTAATATTTTTGAAAAAGAAGTCATACATTTTGGTTGGCTTAAAAATCGGCGTACACCTACACTCAATTTTTATATATTGAATATCTACCTTAAAATTGGATCTATTCAAAACATAAAAAAAACACCGAATTGTCCATTACAATTTGATTTTTCAGATCCCTTGATTTTTGGCTGAGCAAATCGACTTATTTTAAAAACGTTCTAGAAATGATACTTTATAATTTATTTATTTAAAATATATACCAGATATATTTAAAAATTTTAATGAAGTAAAGTGATAGAGTAGGAAGAATGAAAAGAGCATAACAATGTGGTTTTTTAAGGAAAATTGCAAGCACCGTTTATTCAAATTGTAAATATATCTGGCATATTTTTTTACTGGGACCCACCATAGATTTTTCAATTATAAATATTTATTGTCAATAATAATCATATTTTCTGTAATGTTAATGTTCATGTTAAAATAATTTAAGAGCATTTTCTTTTTCGGTTTTTCATTACTAACAGCTCATTACTAACCACCTACCTAAGTGTAAATTAGACTTTTTAAGTCTAATTTAACATTCATTCATTCAATAAATTTCAATCAATTTGGTTTTAAAATATTGTTCACTTTTCATTATTTGCACTATTTAAACAAAAAAAAACAAAAACGTTTATAAATAAAAGTACAATTGGACAGCACTGGTAAATTTACTACATTTCTTTAATGTCTTTCATAAACTTACAATAATTCCCATGGTATTTACCTTTATTTACTCTTTTAATTGGTTTGAGCTTTACCAAAAATTAAAATTTTTGTTGCTCAAGTGAATGGACTTAAATTGGTATTCACATTTCTTTATCTGCACAATCGCAGGCACTTTTCCAAAAACTATAATCTATAGTTTTTCAACAATTTTTTGATGGTTCCGCAAGCGGAATTGGCGTCTCATTCACAGCGCACCTCGGTTCGCAAATGCCGTCGTCAAAACGCAAAAACTGCTGCACAAAAGAGCTCGGCAAAAATCGCGACGCGAAAGCGATGGTATTGGGGGACTTAGAGGGGGTTCTTCGGATGGGATCGTTTCGTATCGCATGAGATCTCGCGGAGGACAAAAGTTGCAAAAAGTCCGGGGAGCGCGCGCACTTGAGCTACAACCACTGAACGCTGAACTCAACTGAGGCGAGCTCGCCAAAAGTATCTTAAAGATGCGCAACAGATCGGCAACTTTAACGGCAGCGAGCTGCAACAAGTTTTTGCCAAATCCATAAAAACAAAAGGCAAATAAACAAACGGCAGTGCACTCAAACAATTGCAATTTGAAGTGTCTCTGTGTCTGTATCTTTTGCACTGTATCTGTTTGTGAATGTATGTATCTGATGCAGTCCACTTGCACACACAGATACACCTGCTTGCAACATTGCAATTGTGGCAGAGAAAAAGAGAGTGCGCTCTCTCAAGCTCTGATAAGTTAAGATTTTAAATAATTTTATTTAGAGTATCTTTTAAAAAATATTTAAGCCTCCTTAGAAAGCAAAAATTCTTGCGCTTTTCTCTCTCTCTGAAAATGTATCTTTAAAGACTTTCAGAGAAAACCGTCTCCCTTTCTCACTCTCTCACGCACACCAAGGTAAAAAGCTACGATCGCTCTCTTAGGTTCCACAAAAAGCTGCCTCAATGGGCGGAAAAGAGACAACTAATCCCACTAACTGATTCACTACACACACTCTGGCATTATTCAAATCTAGCAGTGCGCCATCCCGCTCACACCTACGCCTGCTCCATGTTCTCCCTCGCTTTATTTAAATTTATGATTATCGCTCCGTGTGTGTGTTTGTCTGCTTAATCCAATTGGAGGTGGAGCCGTGCTCCTCTATCCAATTGGGAGATACGCTCGCATAGACTCTCATTTCGCCTGCATATCGCCTCGTTAAGTGTCACGTCGACGTCAGTGGGGGATTTATTTTCATTTCAGGCCCCGGCTCCATCCAATTGGATTTGCGTTTTGAAAACTGGTTTCGCCAACGCCTCTTATTGGCAGGGCTATTTTAGGCGTCTTTTGGGTATTAACTAACAATTGATCGCGTTTTCATAGAAAACCATCTCTAGAAACTTATATCTATAAACTAAAGAGGTGATTTAATATACAAACAATGCTTTTTTTTTAAATTGAAAAAAATGGTTTCTTGAGTCTAATTAAATAGATTAAATTTAATTCTTCAACCAAATTCGGTTGTAATGTATATATAATGAACAAGCTAATTTAAATTTGTTCATAATAGGTATATACATATATATATTTTACATCTGTAAAATCAATAGATTTAATATTAGTAACTTTGAACGGTTAACGCCTTGGCAAGAAAATTTCACCCATAACTTCAAAGTAAATATATTTGAAGTTTAATCAAGAAAGAATACCTTAATACAAAAAACATTTTCTTATCTAAAGCTTAAGAAAGTGATTTTGAAAACAAAATATTTTCACTTCTTGTTTTTGTTAAGAATTCTTTATAAAAAAGGGATAGATTGTGCTTCACTTTAGAAATACTTCATTTATATTTTTTATGAAAATTTCAATAATTTCTTATCCGTTTCACAGTATGTCAACGATCAACTAAATAACATTAAATACAAAATTATACAATAATGAATATAGTAAAATAAAGATATGTACATGTATAGTCTTTCATTCTTAATTTTAAATAAATATATAGCTTAAATAAACAATTATACACAAAAAATTAATACAATTTCATTGTTTTAAATAAGCAGACGAGCTTAACGTTACATTTGTATATATTTTCTCTAAACGTTTGATCCTCGTCTTTTACACCAATTTAGTGCTATGACGTATACTTAATTTTTTCATTATCTTGATAAATTCAGTAAAACAAATTACTCAACAACAAATCTACAAGATATTCCATTGAAAATGGAAGAGCATTCAGCTGTGAGTCGCCCCGAGGAGTTTCCATTGAAGGGCATTGTCTTTGGCTGTTGACGCGGGCGCCGCTTCTTCTGCACCGCAAATCCCATATCGCGTATCGCAAACGCACGATCTGCTGACACAATTCCGCCAGCAATTAAGTTGATTCTCCTCCGCGGGCTGGATTTTACCTGGCGCTCAATTTGCCGGCGTTTAAAAAAGCTGTCAACGGCGATCTGCGACCCGGGTGCATAATGCCGGCCAACTGGAGCTGAACTTGGCCAATTGTTTACCATATGCAGTCCGGCCAGGCATTCCAAACTGTCCGCTCGGGCTTATTAGCCTGTCGTTTGCATTTCTGCGGTATTTCCACTTTGTTGAAGGCGCCGGCCTCCCCGGTGAACGCGGTTGAATTTGAATGCAAATTCCAGGCATAACGCGCTTTTGGTCATTCAAATGTTGCCGCTGCTCTGTGGCCAGGAAGTTATGGATTTAATCCGAATACACTTCCAGAAAAGATAAGTCCATATATTTTTCCCATTCTAAAAAGAAAAGCACTAGGCAAATAAATAATATTATTATTTTTATAAAATTAAAACCATAATTCCGTACTAGATTAAAACTATTATATATCGGAGAATATTTCTATATGCAAAAAAAACGACGTAAAAATGATCAAAAATATATATACTTTATATGGTCCGAAATGTCTCCATTAATACGTTGCAAACTTTTGTCTCAAATTATAATACCCTCTGAAAGAGTATGTTGTATTTAAAAGATTGTTTAACAATATTTCTTTTTAAAACCTTCTTTTGGATCCGCCACTTGTGCGGATGTTTCAAAAATATATAATTATTTATTGTTATCATTAATTTATTTCTTCAATAATTTTTTAGATAAGCAACTATAAGTACCTCTTAATATAATTTTTTGGTTTAATATAATTATATACAATTAATTATATTTATATTTATATTGTTTTTATTTCACAGAAATGTTTACCAAATGAATTGTTTGAAAATTTTGGCGATTTGTATCAAAAAATAGTCAGTCCTGACAAATGTTATCTAACATAGAACATATTTATTTTTTTAGGCTACCATCCCCTAAATGTTTTAGTTTTATGGTTATTTTTTATAATTATTTTTATAGTATTAAACTTATAATTACGGTTATTACAATTAAGAGTTAACAAGTCAAAAAATCTTATCACTTAAGTATTTATTATTTTACAACATGAATAACTTTATAAAATTTGTATATAATTATGAGTAAATGTAGTAGGAAAGTTTTAAAATTTAAAAAATTTTAATTCTTAGATCTATTAAATACTTGCCTAGTACATTTCCATTGTCTAGACCCATTAAAACATGATGGGCTGTCCTTGGGCCTGGCTCCCCATGGTTGGTTTGGTTCCTGGAACTCAAATCTATGTTTAAATTACCATTTAAATGATACTCCAGCGGCGGCATTTCATCACAATGTAACATTCACATTATTCAGGCAGCATAAAATTGCAAACACATATTATTGACACATCATTATCAATCAAAGTTATGCTCAGTTGAAAGTCCGCAATGCTTCCGCAAAAAGGCGAGGAGCAGACTGGCCGTGTTTGCTACTCTCCGCAGATTACAGCTAAGTTTTACGACCATGATTTATGGCAGAATTCTTCATAGGCGGCCGTTCTGGTTTGATGGTCCAGGCCCAGGCCCAGTGCACCATGAAGCATCCGAGTCCGAAAAAGACACACTTGCTGACACGCACAGTCTAGATGCGAGGAGCTACTGCCAGTTCGCATCTAGGTATCTGCCAGATACGGCTCGCACTCTAGCATGCTTTATGGTCTAATCCCGATGGTTAGTTTTGTTCAACATAAACTGCTCGATTTCATGTATTCCATTTAAATGTCGTAGAAAGTTGTTGCAAATCAACTTCTTATCCAGCTCATTCCTCGCGTTTACATCCATATTTATTTGCCATAATTTGGTTGGTTTATGGGACTCTATCTTTTTTTCGCACTACGCCAAATGCATTTGCCTTGTTTAATCTGATTATAATTGGTAAGACAAAGGCATAAAATATTCCAAATGATTATTATGCCAAAGTTAATGGGGTTTTACGATTTTGATATGGGTTGAAAGAGGGGGCTAAACTTGAAGTGTATTGTCTGAAGTACTACTGGTCTTGTATTTATGCATATAAATATCTGACGGATGCAAAGTAAGAACTAAAGCTAACTTCAGCCAATATTTTGAAAAATCTTGCATTCGCCACCACTTTTTACAGAAAAAGGATAATAACAGTTTGTTATACAAAAAATTATGATTCAATCTTACAAATTTTTAAATATTCATTTAAATTTTAATTATTAAAACGTATTTATTAAAATTAAAATTATTCTTAATTATCTTTAAAAATCTTCTTAAAAAACTATTACCTAACCTTTGAAACATCAAAAACCTTTTAATATTTAAGCTAAACATATTTATGTTTCACATTAAGATTTAACAATGTATTCTCCATTTCCAGGAAAATTACTTGAGGGACTGCCTAGTGAATTTCCAAAATTTATTTTTATACTTTAAGAAGCGTAAGTTTTATAAGGACCAAAAAAAGGTTGTTAAATGGACGAAGGTATTTAAGCTAAGTGGATGCAAAGCAAATACTAAAGCTAAGTTCAGCCAATATTTTGAAAAAAACTGGTATTCGCCACAACTTTTTACAGAAAAAACAGTTTAACAGTTTGTAACACAAAAAATGATTAAAAATTCATTTAGCTTTTCATTTTTAAACGTATTAATTAAAATTATTCTGAATTAATTTTAATTATATTTACAAATGTATTCCCTATTTCCAAAAAAATTACTTCCTAGTGAAATTCCTAAATTTTTTTTTATACTTTAAGAAGCGTAAGTTTTATAGTGCTCAAAAAAAGGATGTTAAATGAATGAAGGTGTTTAAGCTA